TGCATTTTACCCTTAATAACCTGACATCAAGTTTTCGTTATTTGTTAACGACGTGTAAAGTTTCTTAACTTTAGTCGGTGAGTGTATACTGCTAACAAGACTGATCTACTGAATTAATTGCCCTGTAGAGGAATCAATATTGTTGTGATGAAGATCTGAAGCACCTGGATAATTAACAAGATAAATTACCCTTAATATATTCCAAAATTAAACTGCTGCAAAATGTATACAATTTCAAACTTTAAACTGCAAACTTTCAGTGTTCATATCGAAGCAAGTAATTAAAGTATCCGGAGTCGGAACTTGAGAATCTACAGAGTGTACAGGGTGTCCCGAAAGTTTCTCGAAATCGGGAGAGTGAGTTCCCGAGGCGATTTGAAGTAACTTTTTCCTTTGCGGAAATGCGATCCGTGGCTTCGTTTACGAGTTATTAAGGAAAAACAGTGACCAATGAGAGGCGAGCTCTGCTGGCGCGAAGCGGCCGAGCCAACGAACGCGCGAAGCCCAGTTCCGGTCATCGGCTCGGCCGCTTCGCGCCAGCTGGATCTCGCCTCTCATTGGCCACTGTTTTTTCCTTAATAACTCGTAAACGAAGCCACGGATCGCATTTCCGCAAAGGAAAAAGTTGCTTCAAATCGCCTTAGGAATTCGCCATCCCGATTTCGAGCAATTTTGGTAATTTTTAAAATTCGATTAATCTTGCGTATCGCTGCAATACTATGAAGTTTCTTGTGCACAGAGTTACACACTCGAACAGCTCTCCAATCGGCGAGTCGAAGGTAACACAATCTATACTAACTCTCCCAGAATTCTTGGGGCGTTCTGCTTCAAGGTCAAGAGGATTTGGTGCTGTGCCTTACCAGAGGTGGACGAGGAACAGGGGTGGGAGGAGGCCCTCGCTGACGAAGGTGCTGCACCGGAGGGAGGATGATCTGCTGTGGGAGGCGTAGGTGGTGAGTTTGTCGAGTTTCCACGGATCTCGCCTGCCTGCTTCAGCACCTGGTATATGGCGTCCACGTCTGGCCACATGGGATAGAGTGACAGCGATGCAAAAGCACAGACATCACAGGAAGTGCGCTTTCCTGTCGTTTCTTAATTGTTTCTTTTAAGAGTTCTCGGCTTTCGGTTTCGGCCTGTTTCGCTAGAGAGGGTCCCTTGGATAGCAAGTGTCTTTGTCTTTTAGTCGTCTCCTTTGCAGGTCGAACAACCTTTCTTCTAGTTACGTTTCTTCTCGGACATCTTCTCAGAGGTCAGGGGAGACTTTGTTCAACGGCGGAGAGACTAGTTTCTTTGTTTCGTGAAGCGGAGTACACGGAGGAATCGTGATCAGTGACTAATGAGGGGTAGCGTTTTACGTTTTTCTTTACGGCTAGCAGCGAAGTAGTACTCTCAGGCCCTTCGATGATGATTTACAAATGCGGATCTTATGCGAGATCAAATTTATCTTCGTCGATTCCAACACAAACAGAGGACAAATATAAGTGTTTTTCTATCTTTAAGAATTTTGGTGTAAATTCAAAATAATATAAACGTGTTTCCAAATTCTTTGAACCGTTTCATCACTTTAAATTTCATCTTGCCGTTTTTATTACAAAGGGCCCAGCCGATTAAGATGGTCAAAATTGACCCTAGAGGTTTTTTAACGAGTATTATACCGTAACTTGTCCGTGAGGGTAGTTACGGGGTAAATTGGATCTGGGCGCTTTGCCGCCCATGTCCCGCCTTCGGTGATTTTCTAAAATTTTGAAAAAAATGTGACTTATTTCGGACATCAAGCCGCATGTTACAGAATTTTTTCAGATTTTTCGATTGCAAGCTGTGATCGTCAAAAATGGAAAAACAAAAAAAAATCGGAAAATTGAAGACATCTCGAAAACAAATTATTATGCCACCCTGATATTAATTTCCTAATAAGGTACTATCACAAGCAGTGCGCTCAATTTTTCTGAGATTTTTCATAGAATTACGCCATTGTAAAAAAAAATAAAAAAATAAAAACCGAATTTATAGATATTTTTGCTGCGAGGAAGTGTATAATACCGGAAAATGTATTTTACCGTGTATAATAAGTAATTTTAAACGTTATTCCATTGAAGCAAGCAATCTTTTAACCTAGAAAATGCGATTTGAGAAAAAGAAAAAATTGTGGTGTGCACATTTCGATATACATATATATCTACATATACGACTACGGATGTCCGAAATAAGCGACATTTTTTTCAAAATTTTAAGAAGTCACCGAAGGAGGGAAATGGACGGAAAGGTGCCCAAATCTAATTTACCCTGTAACTACCCTCACGGACAAGTAACAGGGTTGAAATTTTGCATGGCTGAGTTTTTCTTGGTCAGGGCAATTTTGATCATCTCAATCGGCTACGCCCTTTTATTGCTAATTTGCAAATTTTTTAATTACAGACATTTATTCCCTTTTTTAAAAAACAATTTTAACGAGTCGAAAGGAACACAACAGTATTTTTCAGTGCATTAAACGAGTTTCCTGTTTCACATTCGATCTGCTCGTTTTTTTCATTGATCAGAAACGCATAAAATCCGCAGTCTAATTACAAGTGATTACTGTTAATTCCTTGGTTAATGCAGCGTTGACAATTGAGATTTGATTTTCCGAAGCAACGACGGGGATGCTAATCAGAAGACACTTGGTGTTCAAAGGACCAGTCTCGAATTAATTTTCACTGGTGCCTCGTCAAGGTCGTTTGTTCAAGGTCACCGTGGTTCCGTCGCAGTGGACGACTTCGAATACGCGCGACAAGATGCGGGAGAAAGAATTTGTTCGTATCCTGACAGTATCGTGGTGACCAGGACAAGCAACAAAATTGCTATCGATCGTCCGGAGGGTAGGCAAACCTCTGACGTCAATTGAAGTAAATCACGTTGAAAGGATTAAGAGCATATAACATGCCACCGCGTGATTCGGGCGGATGAGGACCTTCGAATAAATTTCAACACGGATAACTCACCCGCCACCACCCTCGGACCAGTTATTCATTTAACGGTTCACCATGACCCGAGCCATTAAGCTAGCTTCTCGGTTTCTGTCAGCCGAGCAACATTTAATTCGAGGAATAAAATAAATAAATAAATAAATTATGTAAAAATATTATATTTGGAATTTTTCTTCCACGGTGCTCGGTTTTCATTTATTATTTTAATATAATTTTTATAGCATTACATCATTGTTCTTGCTAATGCTATAATTCTGACAGGACTGAGCTGTTTCAAAATTCATTTTAAAAAATTCAATCAAATTAAATAGTATAACTTAGTACATGAAAGTAGTGAATGTGAGATGTCCTTAAATGGTACACAGTTTTCTATTATTATGATGATATAATTTGTATAGTAGTATAATATTCAAGAAAGAAAGAAAATCTCGAGAACTAAGCACGAAAATCAGCCTCTAATTTGTGATCATTGTTCTTGTTAATGCAACAATTCTGACAGGACTGTGCTACTTCAAAATTCATTTTAGAAGTTTAATAAAATGAAATAGTAATCTGTAAGTAACCTGTAATAG